GTCATGTATAGGAACATGTTGAGAAAATAAAAATTAATCTTATCATCGAAAATAAGTAATCTTGTTCAATTATTAGTTTCTATTTTCTCATTATTCTGGTTTCTCATTATTCACAAAGATTTTCTGCAGATTTTCTAGAATTATTATTGAAAAGAAAATAAGAAATTCAATGTAATAATGAAAACGAAATAATCGATTTTGGCATTGATTTATTGACAAATTTCTTTTGAGAATTATTTAATTACATTACTGCATAATTTTTACTTTATTTTTCGTTGTCGTTATTTAATAATTTAAAAAAAATAATTCTGAAAACGTATCCACCCCCAAAGTAGGAATTTTGAACGTCGAATTTGCACTCAAACTCAGGATTTACAGATCTTTAAAAAGTTTAATATGTCTCAAATGAATCTGAAAGAAGTTTTCCACAACACTGCATACTCAGTTTAACTACCTTACATAGCCGGTCACTCCCTTTAATTTCGAGACTAACCTAATCTTGTACTTGTATCCCAAAAAGTGTATAAAATTCAACCAATCAGAGTCGCCGATAAATTAGAAATTTGTTCGCGCCATTTCAGATTAATATACAGAAACGGGAGGAACTCTCTAATTTTAAAAACCGGTTTTTGATTTTTCTCCACTATATCCAAGAAAGAACGGTTTAAGAAGAAAATCAAAAGTGTGTCCATTGGATACTCAGATTAAGTAATTGGGATTAAGGATATCTCATTCTAAAGTTTTCAGCTCAGATGACTTTACAATCTAATTTTACACTTATGATTGATGAAACAAAAATCAGAAAATAGACCGAGTCCTGCCATTTCCAAAATGCTTGATGTATGCTTTTTTTTGAGCATTTACAATTGCCAGATATATATATATGTAAAGTCGCCAGATTAATTGTCAATTAATTCCGGGTCTTTTTGATTATGCAGCTAAATATTTTTTTGACCTACTGAGATGTTTTTTTATACCGTTGTAAAGCTCTTTAAGTGACCCTCCATCTAAAGATATGGCAAATCCGATTCACTCGGTACCTTTTAACTATCTATCTGCAAGAAACATGGATGAATAATTTTTCGTTTTTTATCTAAAAAAGTTTTTAATTTTTGAATTTCTATATTTTTTTAAGACAAAAATGGGCAAGTAACTTTAGCAGAGAAACCATAACTGAAAAACATTATTTTTCATCTGGACATCCCATACATTTTTATCAAACAGCATGATTAAGAAGGGGACTGTTTAAGGCGGGCATTAACATCTTTAAATAGAGGGTAACTTAATTGCTGCATACAAAGCCTTAAAAATGGAGTGTACGCCAGCGTATTGTGTGAACTCAATGCAACTTTTATTTCGGGAAAATCAAGAATATTCTAATTACATCTCGGTTTTCAAAAATTTGAATGTGAACATTTATATTCTGTCACTTCTAGAAAGTAAATAAATATTCCTTATATAAAAAAGGTTACTTGAAACTAGGCTAAGTATTGAAACTAACTCTCCTAGAAATGTTGAGTTTGGATAATCTTCTAACAGAGAAATCAAAAGTTCAACTTCCGTTCTTTCAAACATACCTAAATGTTCTATTAATAAACATAATTAACTGCTTATCTAAATCAAATAGATTATCAAGTACAATAATTGTGGCAACAGAGAAATGTACCAATTATACAAAACGTCACAAATGTCAAATATAACAAGGATAACAACATTTTCTCCCATTGGTTGACATATTTTCCAAGATTAAATAATTAAGTGTAAAAGCAGAAAATAAAGAACAAAAAATTGCAAGTAAGATAAGCACTTTATTATCACTAGCAGTAGTATCAATAATTTTGTCGGACACATAAGATTGTTGATTGACTGTTGACAATTGTGACGTAAGAATACAGCTGTTCTGAGAGCGTGCAAATTCTACAATGTTATATATTTCATGAGGGAGGGATTCCCGGACGACATGAGCCTCTGCTATGCAAACACGAGCCTCCCAGATTTGCAAGGCAGACCGAGCCTCCGCTATGCAGTAATGAGCATGCGCAATACATTAAAATTGAAATTGTAATACAAGAGGTTTTTTAAACTTGTGTTTTAAGTTTAAATAATGATAAAGGGTATATAAAACTATTTTTTACATGAAAAGGAATATATTTAGAGAAAAAAATTTGAAATTAAATTCATTTCATTTTTTATAATCTTTGGTTTCAGCGATATCTTTTTTTGAAGTTCAAATGAACCTAGAAAATTTGTATCATTTACTTAAATCTTAACATTTTTCAAAAAAGGTATTGTTTAAATCAAAAAATTACAACAAAAAAACATAGGCGGTTTCAGGGGGGGTTGCAGTCCATTACCCCCCCCCCCCTGGGTGAAATTAGGGGGAGGTGTACCCCACTCTGGATTTTGCAAAGGTATTTCTCCTTTAAACTGTAATTTTTATTTATTTATGTAAATAAATAATAAAGCTTGCTTGAAAGTGACAACATTGTAAACATAAAATATATATTAAGGGTGAAAGATTTTTCACAAATTTGAGTGGAATCATTTCAACTAGTAAATACTGTTGTATATTTGTAATTCTAAGAAACATTTAAAAAAAAGCATTTTTTGCTAAAATCAAAATTGACAGTCGCAAAAGACCTTTTGTGATACAAAAGATGCTAGTAAGAGTGTTTTTTTTTTAAATATGTCAATATGTGCATCAAAAGATTTAACGGAAAACCTGTTTTACAAAATGATGAATAATAGCCGAATTTCAGCTGAAATTGTGATTTCCCAAATTTTTTCAACTTTAATGCTTCTAGATTGCATGTTTGAATATTTTTTACAAACTTAGGCTTTCCAAGGCGGACTCTTTAAACCCATATCGATATATTTTGAAAAAATAAAAAAATCATCCAAATAACCGGGTTTTCGGCCCCAAAAGGCCATTAGCGATGGTCAGTTATTATTTATCGAAAATGCTTTTTGTAAATGCTGCTTAAAATTAAAAAACACACAAAATACATCCATGATAACCCAAGTTTTCTGCTTTGCTGTGCTCGGCATATCAGAAATATGTGCAATAGTCAAAAAGTTTCAATGGACCACTGACAGTTTGTGGTGTAAATATTGCTCAAATGCTCTGATTAAACAGGTCATCTATTACCCTGCCAAGTTGGTCAACCTGGGAAGAATGGCGATGCACCCAAAGAGGCTTGCCTCAATTTCGGACATCAGTGTTTTTTAAATGCCTTTAATTCAAGCGGCCCAAGAAAATGATTGTAGGTTTGAATAAAGGAGGAGGCACGGACATATGTAGTAATATTTTGACTCCACTGGAGACCATAGGAGGAAATTCATTTTCATTGGAGGGGTTTGAAAAAATGCTTATTACAATTTTAAACTTTCGCAGGGTGATTTACATTCCGCTGGAGGGATTCAGATATCCTTCCTAGGGGTTTATAATTCCACTGGAGGGATTCAGTTATCCTTCCAAGGGGTTTATAATTCCACTGGAGGGATTCAGATATCCTTCCAAGGGGTTTATAATTCCACTGAAGGGATTCAGATATCCTTCCAGGGGGTTTATAATTCCACTGGAGGGATTCAGATATCCTTCCAGGGGGTTTATAATTCCACTGGAGGGATTCAGATATCCTTCCAGGGGGTTTATAATTCCACTGGAGGGATTCTACTGAGATGTTTTTTTATACCGTTGTAAAGCTTAGGGGTTTATAATTCCACTGGAGAGATTCAGATATCCTTCCTAGGGGTTTATAATTCCACTGGAGGGATTCAGATACCTTCCTGAGGGTTTATAATTTCACTGGAGGGATTCAGATATCCTTCCTGGGGGTTTATAATTCCACTGGAGGGATTCAGATATCTTTCCAGAAGGTATATAATTCCACTGGAGGGATTTAGATATTTAGACTTAGTTCACCATGCTTGCATATAGTATGTTATCCAACCTTGGAATATAGGATACACTAATAGCTCTGCTACACCCCTGCCCGCCTTGGCCGCAAAAGCAGAGAAATCA